ATGAATTGATATCAGTTAGTGAGAGACACCGAAAGCTAGAGAGTATTGGATAGCTGTTTCGTCCTAGTTTGGGACTCGCGCCAGAAGTACACATCCATCCAGGACCTTCTGGTAACAGGGAAAGCTCTTAGATCCTCTGGTTCATGATTCCCAACTTCTGCTGACTAGCAACTGGTCGTCTAACAGAAATCACCTGAAGTTCTATTGAAAGGTCATAACCAGCAGGTCGGGTAAAAGGACCGTTACTTGCCGATGACATTGAAGGTTGTGCTAACTGGCAGAAGGCAAAACTCAATGGGCTTGCCATTCAGCTGGGTTCCATTAGTTGAATGTTCTACGAGCTTCTCTTGTAATCGAAAAATCTTGGGCTAAAACCCCGTGGGTTTGTACACTCGATGAGAACAAACCTCACCGCTGGCTTTCAATCGAAAGTTCTCTTTTTCTCACTCGCTTGATTTCCGTCGGAATCTAGGATTTCAAAACTTTGAAGTTTTTGCGTAGCGATGGTGTTATTGATTTTATAAAAGAGATATAGGATTGCATCGGTTGGGTTTCGAACCCTGAGATCCAAACAGTAAACAGAATAATGCATTTAAAAAAAAATATAGTTATCTTATATTTTTTCTCATTTGTATGCATATTTCAGAAACAATTTATGTTCCAATCCCATCGATTATATCCAATCCGTTAGTTGATAAATCATCCTATTTTTTGATTGGTCTAAATCTCATCAAATGGGTTTCCCCACTGATGCCAACATCTGTGACGACAAAAACAAGAAGCCAAGATATACCACTGATCTATGAACTCATAGCTTACAAATTGCCAATACCATATAATTTATACTCCGCTGATTTGATTAAATTAGGTCAATGGAATTCCAGTCAATTGATTGCTCATACAACAAGTGAATCCCCGCAACAACAGCGACAAGTCTACGTTGAATTGAGTCAACCTATGCAGGACACTTCGTTAAGATATGAAAAAGGATCAGCTAAACGATTGATCGGTAAAGAATTACCAAGAAGTCAAGATTATGCATTATCTACAAGAGTTTGTTTAAGAGTAAGTTGTTCAGCTTGTGTGTTTGTCTGTGTGTGTGTGTGTGTGCGAGTATGTATGTATTTTGATGTAGTTTTGTGTTCTCTGAGCTAGCTAACTAGCTGGATGGTTTATGCTTGCGAAGCTTTCATGATTGCCCTACTAAGCAATATCTTCCTTCAACGCATATTTCACTTCAACTTGAATTAAAGTGGACTTTCAAATTTCTCCATGAGTTTATTAGTCATCTCTCCTGATTGGTGATCTTGAACGTGACTCTTTGGTGGTTTTTGTGTGTGTTTTTACACCCTCTAGCCGGCTACTTGTATTGGGACTGATTGTTTCTTTGACCCTTTGTGTGTGTGTGAGATTTCCTTCTTATCTATTGGTAATTTTTTCTGTGTCAGTGTGTTTATTGATGAACGATTCACTGGAATACCCGGCAACCTTTTAAAAATTCTCTAGCATTCTTGGTGTTTCCTCTGTCTAATATTTCAACGCTGATTGTCCACATCGAATTGATATCCATGGTGGTCTGTATGCAGCAAGGGATATGAGTGCGGGGGTGGATGTCATGTCTTTTGACAGCTAGTTTGTGTTCATGGATGTGAAGAAGACGAAGGGGGCGTCGTTCACTTTGACCAGTCACAGTCGTTGCAGCTTATTTTGTAGATGATGTTGGTTTTACCTTCTTTCTCTGTTGAATCTTTCGGTTGACACATATCCAGCTGAGTGAAGTGGTTTTGTTGGTTTGTGTGCTCCATCGATTCCTAAAGGTGTTTGAAGAGCCTTGCAGTGATTTCTGAGATGTTGTCTTTTATATATGGTAGGGTGATTTTCTTTGTGCTTTCCTTGGAGGGTGTTTAATTTGTTAGGTCGGCTTGGAGGGGTATATGTCTTTTGATAAAGCTCCATGGATATCCATCCATTCTTTTGGAAGACGTCCATGAGATATCTTTCTTCTCCCGTTTTCCTTAAGGTGGGAGTGCTGCATTGAGTCATGGCTGGCTGGCTGGCCCTCTTGAATAGTGTTTGTATACAATTCCATTTGTGTGTTATTGGATTCTTGCTGTTGATGACATTGAGTATTTGGTCAGTGTGATTTGGTTTTCTATAAACTTGAGTTTCTAATTCCCCCGTGGTTGCTTGCTTGATTAAGACGTCCAAAAATGGAATGGGTTTGAATTAATGTGCATAGGTTGAGACGTGAATGTGAAATGTTAATGTGGATCACGGCAAGAATCACACCTGCGAGCTCAAGATCATCAGTTTCAATGTGTATTTTTTTAATAATCAAATCGATTTAAACAAAGTAATAAGAAAACTTAATCTGTCTGAACCGTGTACTGTTGTATTTGCCCAACACACATTTCGAACAATCTGATCCAGCACACACGGACTTGTCATAGGAATGTACGTATATATGAAATTAATATAGAGTTAAGAGGTGAGAAAATAGACTGCTGAGGTCAAGTTAAAAGGCGGCCATATTGAAGGTCAAAATAACAATGAAGATCACTTAACCAAATAACAGAGGTAACATAGTACATCTACCTTGGTATGTATCAAGACAAAGTTTACCAAGGGAGGTAACTTAACAACGGTTGAGTACTGTGGTTAAAAAGACTTTCTATGCAGTTAACATCATAATAATTGAGAATGTGAAGCCAATAAATCCACTTAAACTCTTAGAACCTATGAAAAATTAAGTCATATCGCAGTGAATTTACCAATTTGAATGTACGTGTAGTCACACATACATAGGAGGGAGGACTCATCGATCTCTGCAAGTAAGGCTTGGCTTCAGAGCATATTCCTAAATGTCTTCAGAAGCAAATAGAATCCCCAGAACCCATTAATGAGGAGAATAGACGATGACCCAACTCCTCTATTGCGAAACAAATCACAGAGGGGAGAGAACATAAAATTGATGTTTACACACGTCTTTTAAACCTATCTATAAAACGTGTTTGGTGGAAAACGTACCCTAAAGTTTGTGCAAGCTCTAGCAATTAGAAAGCTTAAACCACCTTTATGCGTTCAAAGTAACAATTCATCATCACATTAAACTACCTTCCTTGGTAAACTTTGTTTTGATACAGTCAGGGTAGATGTACTATTTCCTTTGCTATTTGGTTTAGTGATCTTCATTGTTATATTGACTTTCAATATGTCCCTTTAACTTGACCTAGCTCAATTTTCTCACCTCTTAACTCTCTTTATCAATTTCATGTATATGTACATTCCTATGATAATTACGTGGAGTGTGATCAGATTGTTTGAAATGTGTGTTGGGCAAATACAACAGTACACGTTTCAGACAAATTACATCATTTTATTGCTTTGTCTAAATTCATAAAGCGAACTAATTGTTTTAAATAACATCTATATTCTGGACAGTATCTGTGAAATGTAAAGAATTTTCAGAGGAATTTATTGCATGACATTTCCTCTTCTTATAATATCTTCAAGTAAAATATTATTCGACAGTATATGCTTCCTGTGACACAATGGTCTCTGAGCTGATGAAGCACAAACCATTCCATTAGGATACATATATCTGCTTTGTTTCCTTTAAGAAATCTATCCACGATATCTCGTTGAACGCCAATTGTAAGATATTCAGAAGTACACTACATTGTCTTCCTTCTTTCTATCTGCCCTTAGAGTGGAACATAGAGCTTCAAGCTTCAGCAATCGTGTTGTCTTGTTGTTCCGTTCAGGACATATTTCCGACCTTTTTTTCCTTTCAACCCGGGCTTAATATACCCTATGCGAGGTACAGACGTATGTCTGTCTGACAGGTATTGAACCCTGCTAGACTGGGTAGTGTGACAGACACACAGCGGCCCGGGCAACGAGGAGACAGGCATAAAATGGACCCACACAAAAAAAACTTGGAGGATCTGGACTTTGACGATGTGATATATATATATATGACTGATTTCCCACAAACTGGAAGATATGCAAGTGATGAAAAGCAACAAGTTGACAGAAGAAGCATCCAGAGAAGATAGGACTTCCTTCAGGTGAACATAGAGAAAACAGAGGTAGGTGATGAAGATTCCCGGCCAATAGCAACAATCAGCTAGCATAAATGGGAGAAATTTGAAGGAAGCCACCTCCTTCACCTACCTACCTACCTGGGAAGCATCGTTTCAACTACAGGCAGGTGGAACTGGTGAGGATATCAAAGCATTGAGGATCGAGAAAGCAAGACAAGCTTTCATTACTCTCAAGTCTGTGTGGAGATAAACAGCACTCAGCACTCACCATGAAGAATAAGATCCGGATTTTCAACTCCGACGTAAAGTCAGTGCTACTCACTATACGGATCAGAGACTTGGCGCCACGTCACGAAGGCCACTTCGAACAAACTACAGACCTTCATCAACAGCTGTCTTCACTCAATACTACTCAAGATCAAATGGCCGGCCGGAAAAGATTACCAACAGAGATCTCTGGGAATAAATGAACCAAACTAGCAAGAGTCAACTGTGCAAAAACATGCAGGAAGAAATGGAGATAGATTGGCCATCAAGTGAGTGACATCACACGCCAGGCCATCACTCGACTGGAACCTCACCGAATGGGAAGTGGCGAGTTGGTCATCAGTGTGAGGGTGACATGGAGGAGGATGTCATGCCGAGAAGAGGAGACGAAAGCATATGGGCAGATGTGGAGCCAGGTGATAAAAACGTTGGCAGACAACCGGATGCAATGAAGACGTGAGGCTGAAGCCCTATGTTCCTCCTCTAGGAACTAAAGGTAAGAACAATAATAATAATAAAAAATAATGGTGATTAAACTTACCTCTCTCTACTATGTGTGATAACATTTTCTCTGTTTGCTTTGCATTCATATCTGACGTTGAACTTTCATCTTTTTTTTAACCCCACTCCATCTCCCGCCGGCCTACACATTAGCCAAGTAAACAGTTCTATTCATTAAGCGCTATAATGGATAGTCATTCAAGACAAGAGGTAATCTGTTATGAATCGAAATGGCTTCAACCAGTTTCAACAAACCGCCCTACACCTTCATCCCCAGTTAATGAGTCATTGAATCAACTGTATGATGATTCAAAACCTTATGATCCAGATAAATTTCTATGGTCAGGTAATCCGTTTGGATCACAAAGTCCACCTCCATCAGATGATGCAACTGCTCAAGGACCTGGTAAGTTGTGCCACTAATTATCAATTTTTAGTTTATTTTATTCCTTTGCATACCGAGTGTAACATGGCGATACTGGCTTGAGCTTTGATTTTTCAGTAGATTGCTAGCCGCACACATGCTCAACTTTCCCTCCTTATCGAGCTTACGAACGGCCTGAGATTGAACCTAGGGTCAAATGCGTAGTTGGTGAGTGAGCCAAGTGGAACACTGAGATTCCGAAGCAGATCTCCTGTGTATTCTATTCTTTGAAATCATTTTCATCACTTGTTTCCTCCAAAAACGCGCAAGCTTTCATTCCCACCCCACCCCCTAAGATTTCCTTTATGGCACTATTGGGACCCAAATCCAACTCTCCGCTTTACATTCGGGTTCCATTTGGCAGCCTGGTAGATAATTTCATAGATAATTTCATCAGTGTTGTATGCGAAATTCACCTCAGTGTCTTTGTCTATATTTATTGGGTCGTAGGTTGTTTACTGCCTCAACGGCGTCCTTGCTATCGAGCCAGAGAAGGTAGATGTTGACAACAGTCAGTCTGTAGAAAACTTTTTAGCTACATATGCACTAAGCCTCTAAACTACACAGACATACTGACTGACTTGGCATGAAAGGTTAACTATTCGCAGTTTTGCTCAGAGTGATTTTAGAGTATTGAATGCCTCTCTTACTTTCGCATTTCTGACCAAGTTAAACTTTAAGCAGCACTAACAACCAATCAGCGAACGACCTTGAATGCTCCAATAGGGTTTATTCATGTGAGTTCAAGGTTATCTTGCGCTTGATTCATATTAAATGCCTGATGTAAACAAGCTACACTTGCAGTTCGATGTGGATAAGATTTTGGAGTATCGCCTTCATTTGTGTGGTTGCTTAGGAAGGAGAGGATTTGTTCATGTGGTGATGTGATGAGTTTAAACAGCTTTAGCAGGTCGATTGATGAATATGTCCATCATTGTGCGATTTGCTTGAGACGAGTTAGTATTGGGGAAGGTAAGCTGATAATGAGTAGTAGGTTGTCCATTGGTTCCTTCCTAGAGTTCCGTGTCTCTAGTTCTTTCTAGCTGGCCATCTGATGTTCAGTATAGAGAGAAGACAGCTATTGATAAAAGTCTTGAAAAAGCTTTCCATGACACGCTTAGTATTTGAACGATGAACAAGAAATGACTGACTCGACATGAATGTTGAGTAAGCGAGTCTCTTTTCTCCCTATCTTCGCTGTCTGCCTCTTCTGCCAACCTGTTGAATTTTGTCTGTACATCTTCTAATTTTTATGACAAGAAATATATGGTCAGTGAAGTCCAGACCTTCTAAAGTTCAAAGTAATCCTGTCTTCTTACTCCCCACAATCTCCTGCCTAATCCAGTCCACTGCTATCAGAGATATCATCGGTGATAGTAGGTGGACAGGTCTGTCTTACTCCTCATCATACTTCAAAGGTAGAAGACGAGAGGCTTCTTAATGGAATACCTTCAAATCACCATTTATACAGATATTCCATATTGTGCTTGCTACTTTGACCTTCCTTCATATTATGCGTTTCTTTGTGTTCCTTTCACGTCGTCTTGTAACGACAGAAGACAAGAAAGAGTCAGGCAACAGATCGTTTATTAGGAAAATCAATAGCTATTTATAGATTTTTATGCACATTATTATTAGCGTTATAGTTAGCAGAGAAGCAACCTCTTCTGATTGATTGTTTTTCTGTGGAAGGTTATTCTGTCATCTCACTGTGTGGACGTTTCTTAGAAAGTCAGGCCATATATCTGCGAATCGTATTTGCACATGTTAAGTCTGCTGCGATTGGTTGCTCCATTCGTCAAGGTTCTGTCTGTCTGTTTTCAACATAGGACTTTGCACTGATGTGTGACAGTTCAAGTCGCCACACTCCGTGTAGCACACAAACCAAGAGAAGAAACTAGAAGAAATGCATAATAGAGAGAGACAGTAAACACAGGTGTGAGACAAAGGAAGAGTAGTAACGAAGAACAAAACAGTTTCATTGGAAATCATAAGTCACAAGGATTGGATACATCTGCTCCAACCAGCCATTGAGAAAAATTTCGAGCCATATCACCAATTGTTTCCAGCCTTCATTGGTGTTTACCGTCCCGAGGACTCCAACCAGGAAGCCAGTCTACACCTTCCTACGTGGCTGGCTGGCTTAAACTGACTGTTGTGGATTTCATTGACTGATGAAGCCATGTTTTGCCTTGACCACCACCAGCTTGCTCTTTTCTAACCTGATCCATCCTATGTCAGCTAATATTGCCCATCGTCGAGGAAGGCGATGACTAGGCATGCATGCGTAACACACGTCCTAATCATCTCAATCGGTGTAACTTCACAGCCTTGTCGACTGATTTCCCCTCGTACTTACCTGGCACTTGGTGGACGCCTAACCTCAGTATTGCTCACTCTATTATACCACCACTTAACACGGGAGATATAGTGCAGGCACCTGTGATCAAAGATAGCTGAGTAGCCTTTTCATGTCTTCCACTCTCAATGGCCAGTTCTCACGGCCATAAAGGAGGACGGAGCGGACTGCTGAGCAGTACACTCGCCCTTTGTCGATAACCAGCCACCCGGATATCAAGTCTACGCCAGAGATGATGTAAACTAGCATATACGAAACTAGCCCTCTGTATCCGTTCTGAGATTTCGTCAAGGTTAAGCTTTGTTGCTGTTTTTTTCCTGATGACCCGGATTATGGACGTAAACTGTTGCTCACAATTTCGGCTTCCAGACAGCTCTCACCTCAGTCTACCATGTATCTCCTCAAAGTTGAATCATTCACCTTCTCTGGCATCAAATGTATCTCCCTCCTAGTTAATGTCTTTCCTCCGATGAACGTCTCTTTATCTATACTACTGAAAAACCTTATAAGTAACACCACTACTATATTATAATCGATTATAGACCAGTAACACAATCTCACTTAATTCTCTTCTACACTTTTCTTTTTTCCATCCTTCTACAGGACGTGAAAGTGGTATTGAATCAAGTATCCGTGAAAATCGTCAATCGAATGATATCAATGGGATATTAGATGAACAAACTGAACAACAACAACTATCAGAAAACCTAAAAGTACACGATACTGGTGTTCCAGATGACGACAGAGATGATGATGATGGTGATGATGACAAGTCCATGCTGAATAATCTTCAATTATCGCCTAGTCTATCACCACCATCGCATAGTTCACAAATGACACTTTTAACCGCCGGTGTCTCATTAACAGCATTAATTCTTATCTTTGGTTTGGTCTGTTTTCTCATAATTCTCTGCAAACGACGACGTTTATCCGATGGGGTTATAAATAAATATCAAATAACCGAGAATCATCATCCTAAAACCGCTATTCACCATCCTCAATAGAAAATAATACCGACAATAATAGATTTAAAACACGTTATAAATTAAGTTACGCCATCTTACGTCGATTGGCATTTCATCGACGACGTAAAAGAAGTCAACGGAAATTGTTTAGTTCATTTAATCTAACTGAAATGCATTGTCCACCTCCAGGAATTGGTAGCTCCATCGCTGCTAATCTTCATTCCACTCCTCTATCGTATGAATTTTCAGGATATACTAATCCAACAGCTAATAATGGCTTGCTTTATTCTCAATCGAATGGTGAGATAAGAAACTTTACTAATTCTTTAGATACTACTAATAATAATAGTAGTAGTAAAAATAATACAACTACAGAAATGAATCCAAACTATGCGTCAGATTCACCGAATACAACTCTTTGTCAAGCTGATAATAATATTAATAATAATCCTTATACACCATCACGACTGAACCGTGTTGATTCTATTTCAATGAGCTATCGTCCATGTCAGTTGATGAACTCTCCACCATCACCAAGTACTATATATAACAATATTAATACATCTGGTTATATGAAATCTGGACAAAACGATTTAAGCATTACGTGTAATGGAGTTGGCACCGCATTAGGTAGTTTAAAATCTGTTAGTACAATGGGATCGAAGAGTTTACAACCGTTGAATTCTACGGATTATGCAGGTATGACATGTGGTATGTTGTCACCGATTTCTAATGGACGTGGTCGAAATATGCTTAGTTCTATACCAAGTAAGTTTATGTTTTTGTGTATGGCTTAGCTTTCACTTTGAGATTTAAGCATTTCCGATAGGTTTCCTCGATATTCCTTCGAATTTTATCGTATACGATGCTCAAACGAAAGTAGAAATCTTGAATGCGATCATGCTACTGAACAGCGGCCGGCCGGGAAGGCAGTAGGATCATAGGGAATTCCACCCCCCCCACTGCGGAGCACTGGAAACGAACGCAGAGACTGTGGCAGATGTTCTCACTCCAATATTGCAAAAGGTTTGGAAGGAAGGGAGAAGGGAAATTTACCTACCGATTGGAATAAAGGCTTGCTACCTTGTCAAGCTGCCAAAGAACGGCGGCTGAGTTAGGCCTCTACAAGAACTAGTGTGGAATCATGCTTTTGTCCACTCACGCCAAGTAAAAGACCAAGTCGCGCCATCTTGGAGAGAATAAAGATGCAATGGGTATAGAACTCCTGCCCACCCGGAACAAGTTGGATCCAGGAAAGGTAAATCATGTGCTGATCAAATTGCAATTCTACGCATCATCATCATCACAGAACAAAGCATAGAATGGAAGTCAAACCTATGCCTCAACTTCATCAACTTCGAATAGGCCTTCACCAGACACTGTTAACAGAGAGATAATTTGAAAACTACTTCAACAACATGACATGCTCCAAATCTTCATCATCCTCATTCAACAGCTGTCTATGTCGCGATAACACATTTCAGATGATCCACAAAGGAAAACTCACTGAGAAGTTTGAAGTGAATACAGGAGTAAGACAGGGCTGTCGATTATCACCGATGATATTCTTAATTGTGGTAGGCTGGATTATGCGTCAGACTGTGCGATGAGAACGAGGAGACAGGAATACGCTCAACCATCGATAAGAGGCCTCTAGAAAATCCAGATGTCACACAAACTCGAAGACTTGTAGGCGAAAAGCAACAAACTCACTGAAGACGCTGGCTAGCAGAAGAGACAGGACACAGGTGAACACAGAGAAGACGGTGGTGATGAAGATAACCAACCAACCAACCTCAGGTACACCAACAACAACAACCAGCACCAATCACTATCCTTAACTGAACGTAACGACTTAGGAATCGACTTGTTACCAGGGAATAGTCTTATGGACTTAGAATATGCAGATGACATAGTCCTGTTAGGGAGGATGCTGACAAAATCCAGCAGAGTCTTCTAAACACCTTGAGCAGCAATCTCCGTATGTTTGGCATGCGATTCGCCCCTACAAAATGTAAGATGCTGCTACAGGACTGGACCACGTCAACCCCTAGCTTAGTGATAGGGAGTGAAGTGATAGAACATGTTGACCACTTCACCTATTTGGGAAGTTGTATTAGCACCAACGGACTGATTGGCGATGAAATCTCAGCACGGATCCGAAAAGCTCGAGCTGCTTTCGCTGACTTACACCATCTCTGGCGTAGGCGTGACATCCGGTTATCAACCAAGGGACGTGTGTACTACTCAGCAGTTCGCTCCGTCCTTCTCTATGGCTCTGAAACATGGCCAATACGAGTTGAAGACATGAAAAGGTTGACTGCTTTCGATCATAGATGTCTGCGATCTCTGTCTCACGTTAGGTGGTTTCACAAGGTAAGTAATGTTGACGTTAGGCGTAGAGTGTTGGGCAAAGAGGGAAAATCAATCGACGAGGCTATAAAGTTACATAGACTGAGATGGCTAGGTCACGTGCTGCGCATGCCTAACCACCGCCTCCCCCGACGGGCATTGCTAGCTGATATAGGTGAAGGTTGGAAAAGAGCCAGTGGTGGCCAAACAAAAACATGGCCTCATCAATCCATGAAATCCTTGACAGTTAAACTGAGTCAGGTAGGGAGATGCAGACTCCCGGGTTGGGGCCCTCGGGACTCTAGGAATCAATGGCTGGAGACAATAGGTGACATGGCTCAAAATCGTTGTCAATGGCCAGCTCAGATGTATTCAGTCTCTGTAATCTTTCATATTCCTTTCTACCATTACCCATTCTGTTTCATTCTTATACTTGTCAGACTCTATTGATTCTCTTCACTCATCTTCTTGTCTACCTCTGTGTGGTATTTGGAAGGTGGCAACTCGAACTGGTGCACTTCGGTGCCAAGTTCTATGTTGAATCCAGACAGACAGACAGACATCAACGGGATAGATTTCACAGAGATTACTTCCTCCACTTATCTGGCCAGGAAGCACAGTTTCAACTACAGGCAGTCAGAACGGATGAAGACGTTGAGGTTGGCCAGCCAACCAGCCAGGAACGGAAAGGCGAGATACGCCCTTCATCAACCTGAAACCAGTTTCGAAATCTTGTGTACTCAATCAGCATAAAGGATAAAATTCGAATTTTCAAGAACAATGTCGATTCGATCCTTCTATACAGGTCAGAAACTTGACCAGTATGTCACAAAAAGGATTTCCAACAGGCTAGTGAAGGACTTTTATCAACAGCCGCCTTCATTGGCTCCACAGTGAAGATTAAACTGCAGGCCTGAAAGAATTAGTAACAGGAAACTGTGGCAATGAGCGAACCGGCCAAGAGCCGATGGATGGCTCAACAGATATTAAGGAGAAAATCGAGATGAATTGATCGGGAGGATTTTGAGGAGGCCATCGAACGACATCGCACTCAATACAGGCCATTTATTCGGATGGAATCCAAGTGGAAAGCGATGAGTGGGTGGTCAGTACGCGGCTGACATGGAGAAGGTCGTGTGAGGAAGAGATGTGAGATGCAGAGGATGGCAGAAAATAGAAGAAAGTGGAGATGTGTTGTTGAAATCGTATGTTCCACTCGGAAATGAATGGCACAGCAAGTCAAGATTAGATGACACTTTGAGTACAACAAAATATAGACCCTTTATATAGTTTCATTATAACTATTGAAAAGTGTACAGTGTCTTAGGGTATATGAATAAAGTTGATGACTTGATCAGTAATCACATGATCATGTAAATATTAATTTAACCTCCTTTTTTTCACCTCCTGAACCTTCTATCAATATCTCAAGGTCGACCACAATTGTATAAGCCTATTCTAGTATCAAATTTAATTGAATATGTACAAAATTTAAAAGCAGACAATGGACGTTTAATGGCAGCTGAATTTGAATCTATCGATCCAGGTGGACCATTCACCTGGGAACATTCAAATCGACCGGGGAATAGAAATAAAAATCGTTATGCTAATGTTGTCGCCTACGACCATTCACGTGTTATCCTTCAGTTGAATTCAGCTATGGAACCAGATTCTGATTATATTAATGCGAATTACTTGGATGGTTATTGTAAACAAAATGCTTATATTGCTACACAAGTAAGTCAATATTCATTCGTCATTGTTCTTTTTTACTACTTATTTTAAACTACTAATACATTTTGTTAGTAGTTAAATTTAAATGTATAAAAAGATTGCGAATAAGATGAATTGAGATTAAGGGTTTTGTGGGGATTTCGATTAATTTGATTTCATTTGTTACATTTTGTCAAGAAAAACAATATTTGGAGAGTACCTGAACATATCCTTCAACCTAGTTAGGACTCTTCATGGATATACACTTAGTATCCCAGCAGAAGTCGAACTCGGGAATATCAACCTATGAGACCAATCTTGTTAAACATTCAGTCACCTTGGTTGGTATTCTGGGAAGCGTGAATTTGAAGTTAGTCAATTTGTGACACTTTCAAGCGTTAGTTTGTAAGGATTTGACTGATCAGTGGAAGGACCATCGGAAACCAGGTGTACTAGAATATCCTGGGTTCGAACCCCAATATTGACTGCATACTGCTGATGAGTCCAAAGCTAGGATGAAACAGCTGTTCACCCCGAACAAAGGACTTGATGCATGTTACCAATTACTACCTACTACTGTAATCAAAGTATCTAATGCAGTTCTACAGGAAAGGTCACTTGAGAACCCGCATAGCTTCATGATACAGTCGTAAGAAACAGGCGTAAACACCAAAGAAAATTTTCCCTTTTCGACGATTCATTTTCATAACCTGTTGTACAAGTGTAATTACATTTAACAAAGAAATCATATGACCAATCAGATGCTCGTTAAACTTATCCTCGACAAACTTATTACGTCATATAAGGTGTAACCTAGAGAGGGTGACTAATTAGAAGTTCGAGACGAGTCAGAAGTTGGCATGACGTAATAAGTGTGAGAAAATGACTAATTTAATACATTTGGTTCCCTTTTGATAAATTTCGATAGACTGATATGTGTGTAGTTCTGCAGGGCATTGAAAATTCTTTCAACTGATATGATCAACCTACAGCTTATTAGTATTGTAAATTATTATTATTATCATCATTATTAATGTTTATTGTCTTCCCTCCGCCCTCATTTATTTCAATTTCCTCCCCTCCATTTTCAAAAGGGCCCACTACCGCATACAATCAATGATTTCTGGCGTATGGTCTGGGAACAACATTCAGCTATGATTGTATCAATGACACGGTTGGAAGAGAAAGCTCGTATTAAATGTGAACAATACTGGCCTGGTAGTATTGGTTTAACCAATGGTAGTGGAGTTGGTGATAACAACTCCACTATGAATGGTGGTAACCATAGCAACAGTGTTCTGTTATCGTGTAAACCAAGTCCAAGTATATCATCACGACTGAATACCTCTTCGTCTATAACTTCGTGTAAAAAGGCTAATGATTTTAAAATGAAAGTTTATGACAATAAAAGTATCTTTCCTCCACCGGTGAATTTCAGACATCTTTAGAACGTGGTAATATTACTAATAATGTTGATGATGGTGATGACGATGATGATGTTGAAGAGCATATCACACTGAATGGAGATTTAATGTTCACTAATGGATTTTCACATTTATCACAAGGTAAGTGAATGATTACGTAATAGGCATTTCACTTTATTTTATTTTTCTATAGTTGATTTGGGATTAGGATTTGGTTGATTGGTTACAGGATTTCATCATGAGCTGACAATGGTTAGATAACCATTGGAAAACCAGCCACTGGACAGCCATCTGTTTCGTCCTAATTTGGGACTCTTCTTTAGAATTCATCGGCCATTAGATCGGGTCCCATTGGCTCGCCTTGTAACCAGAAGGTCCTAGGTTTGAACCCTGTAGGTGGGTGGGTGCATACTGCTGGAGAGTCCCAAACTCAACTGACGAAGAGCTGTCCAGTACTCCCTATGGCTGGTTTTCCAATGGTTCTCTAAGCAATGTCAGCTTATGATGAAATCCTGTAACCAATCAACCAAATCCCTACAAATCAATACTTGTGAGGATTAGTTTTTTGTTTTGCTTTTACGAGTTGACCACGGGTTGATATCAGTTAGAGAAGAACCGCTGAAAACCAGCCACAGGAGAGTACTGGACAGCCAGTTGTTTCATTTGCCTAATTTAAGAATCATTGAAAGTACACGCCACCCACCTCTAGGGTTCCAACTTAGGACCTTCCGGTTATAAGACAAACTGGCTCGTACCATGCCATTATTCAGTCATAGGGACTTGACTCCTCAGTGGCCATTCCATGAATTCTAACTTCTACCAATGCATAGTTAAACGCGACCCCAACCAATATTTTATAATTCTTTTGCTCCTTCAAGTTACAAGAGCACCTCTGGGCTCCAGTTTTGAGCTTTAACGGTTTCAGTAGCATGCTGTCCGCCCAACCTTCCCTTTTAACCTGACTAAATTGGCGGCTAAGTGAGGATCAGTAATGCATTTGTCGATCGCAAGTCAAACCCAAACCACATACGACCAGTAAACTGTTGATGATCCTTTAAAGTGTAACTCAAAGTTAGGTGTGTACACGGGCAGCAGACTCGTGAATGGCAAGTCAGACCGGACTGCTCAAATATTAAAAAAGGGTAAAATGGGCAAGATGTGGCACACTAAAGATTACGTAATATATATATATATATATAATACTTTACTGGAGAGAAGTAAGTAAGCAGAAGAGGCGTCGAAGATAAGACTTCAGGTGAACATAAAGAAGATAGAAGAGTCCAATCAAAGTTACCGTTACAGTCTTATAGAAGAGGTCAATCGGGAACTCAAACAGCTCATTGGTAATGTCTCTGACTACAGGCAACACTAGGTGACCCGACTTGGAATTTTAGAAGGGGCACGAATTCCTTCAAGATGGTAAATACTCCTTACTGTGACACGACTGTCGGCCAAATAAACACCAAACTTAGGTCCCCCCCCCATGGCTTCTTGCCGATTGTCTTTAACCATGTAACAACTGTATATTTATGTTCATGTATTGATTTCTTCTATTTCAAGGTCATATATTTATCTAATCGATTTATTTTTCGTTGGTACACACATTAGGTACAGTAAACTTCGGTGATATCTCAGTCAGTTTGTTAGACACGATTGAATTGGCCTATTACACTGTACGTTCATTTGTACTTCAAAAAGTTGGGTAAGTTATACACATTACTGTTTTATGTTATATATTTCTTTAAATATTCATAAGTTTGAGAACTCCCGCCTATAAATTTATAGCGAAGAGGTATATATATGCATTATATTGTAACGACAAAAGACAAGGGCCAGGAAATACATCGTTTATTGCGAAAATCAACAGATACTTATAGATTTCTATGTACATTATTGTCAGTGGAGAAGTAACGCCTTCTGATTGGTTGTTTTCTTACTCAAGGTTATTCTGTGCTGCTTGGCACCATTGCTCAGAAAGTTAAGCCATATATCTACGAATCGTGTTTGTACACGTTAAGTCTGCTGTAATTGGTTGTTGAATTCCTCAAGGTTAAGTAAGCTTTGTTATTGTTTTTTTCTCATGACCCCAATTCGGAAAGTAAATATTGAATATAAACTGTTGTCTACGATTTCGGCTTTCAGACAGCTGTCATCACAATATAACTGATGTCGGTCAGCGATCAAACGTGTAACCAATCAAATCCCTCCAAACCAACACTTGTAAATGCATGTGTCCTTAAAATTTGATCATGGACTAACTTCAGTTGAAGAACTGCTGAAAACCATCAGAGAGTATTAGGCAACTGTTTCGTCCTTATGTTGGGACTCTTCAGCAATAGATGCCTAAGACCTCGATTGGTTGAAATCATCAGGACATATAATACATATGTTAAGTCGTTGCTTTCTTCAATAAGCAGGAGCAGTTGATTTAATAGGACTAGTTTGGAAGAGAGTCAGCAGTCGGTCATATAGGTGGGCTGGTCAGAAATTCTCACTAACCTTCGCATGTGTATTTTCGTTTGCTGTTACTCTTATGACATTTCCTTCATCTACTTGTATATGGCAAATTTGAAGTAAAGCGCCTTGTACAAAATTCTACACTAATGAGTCAACCAAATCGATATCAGCCTTGAAAGGGATCAAAAATTAGGGAATACTAGGCATATGTCTCATCTTACTTAGACATACAACTTTTAGTGCAATCTACCGACGATATTTTAACTCAATAACAGTGTAGTGTAATGTCAGAGCATCTTGTGTTACATAATATAATATCTTCTCATCTTCTGATTACAGAACTTCAGAAAGAAGAGAAGTTCGTCAACTACAGTTTACTGCATGGCCAGATCATGGAGTACCGAATCACCCAGCACCATTGTTAATGTTTTTAAGACGTGTTCGAGCTGAATGTCCTGCGAATTCTGGTCCAATTATTGTACATTGTTCTGCAGGTGTTGGAAGAACCGGTAAGTTAATTACTGAAATGTATCTATCTACTTATTTATTTATTTATTTATTTTCAAAGTGCCTATCTGACGGTAATTGATCTATGTGAGGTTTGATCACGGATTGATTAAGGTTAGAGGAAACCATTGAAAACTTGGCAGGAAGTACTGAAGAATTATTGTTTCGACCCTGTTTCAGTCTCTTCAATGGCATGCACTCATGACCCTGCCGAGGATATTATCCAGGACATCCGGGTGATAAGGCGAACTGTTTGACCCTTCAGCTCCTTGGATAGAATCTAATAGCCTAGCAGTTCAAACCAGTTGGATTCACCAAGTCACCGATGACACTAACTTGCGATGGCACTGTGTATCCTGAATCGGCAGAAGTTAGAATTCATAGAGACGTCAATGGATTCCGTTTTAATTGTTAAATCGTCAACTACCCTACTTTCTAAACTGAAGGTCTTGGGTTCAACCACTAATGTGTGTGACGTTATGGGTTTGTGCCTCTGAAGAGTTCAAAACTAGGACGAAAATGCTGTTCAGTACTCTGTGGTGGTTTTCAATGGTTTGCATGAATTCATCACCAGATGGTGTCCTTAATGGAATTACCCTCTGTCACACTGACGGAATTCTACTGAACAAAGCAATCCTCGTGAGAATAAACTGGAATGTTGTGAGATACTTGAATCCACTCAAGAATAAGATGCCTAATGGATTGTGGCGATCATTATTCATAAGTGACGATTCAGTAAATCCATATAGATTCGAGTAGATTTATTGTCTCCAGCTAAGGCTTTACTGAAATAAGTAGTAAGTTTAGCAGTGTTGATTTGTCCCAAGAAGCTGCCATCTTGTCAAGAAGTCCCATAACCTGTTTTGGCAAAGTTAAACTTTAGACACCACTAACAACCAATCAGCAAACGACCTTGAACGGACCAGTCACATTAAAGAGGCATATAGGATGAATGGAAATGTATATTTGTAGAAAAAAGCATAAAATAGAGAATAAAAAAGTTACATGGGATATCTTTCTCGAACATGTGAGAGAAACATCTCCTAGTTTAGCATGGGACTGCCAATGGAGAAGTTACACCATATCCTGTACATATATTCATCCAAATGACCATAAATGAGATCCTTTTGAGATCCATTTATAGCCCTTATCCTATTTTTTAACCTGCCCCAAAATCCTTCAATAGAATTTGTATGTGTCCTCGTAACGGATCCACAAAATCACTTGAATGGTTGACTCTATGATGAATATATCCCAGAGATGACAGTGAATTGTAGCCTTTCCACTCGTCGGTGTGTATAATTGACCCCCGCTTAACAAGTCTGGTAATAATAGGTATAAGAGTAGTTGCTTTTCTATCTGCTATCCTTAGGGAGAGAAGCGACCTACCGAAAAAAGTTCCTACGAAATATTAAAATTATCAGCTTACTCTCTCTAGCGTTAGTAGGCTTCAAACATATAGCACAACGATGAACAAACCCATCAGTTGATTTGGTATAGCTTTTCAAAGTCGTGATACCATCACACAAACAAATTCGCTATTTTCGGCGGAATTTAAATCCAGGAAATACTGGAAAACGCTAACCTCTTCGAATTGCAACAATAGCTTTGTAAGGTCACGCATTAGAAATGAATCAAGCGCTATAAAACATTGAACTGCGTTCGTGAACCTCATTGGATATCGATATCGTTCGTGAATCTCATTGGATAATTCGCTGATTGGTAGTTATTGGTGTCGAAAGTGTAACTTCGCCCCTGTTTTTGGTCGAACAGTAGCAAATTCTAAGATGCACGCTTCGTTTTATTAGGATTTATTATCAGGTATTGGTTTGTAGGAATTTTAATGGTTACAGGATTGATCACGAGTTGGCATCAGTAATAGAATCTTTGAAAAGCCAGTAGGGAGTACTGGACAGCTATTTCGTCCTAGTTTGGGGCTGCCCAACGGTACACATCCACTACGGTTCGATTATTCCTGTAACTGATGAAATCTCTTCTAACCAACACTTGACAATCAATCTGATGTTCACCAGTAAGAAGTCATAACCAGATGAGTCCACCAAATCAGCTTAGAGGACAGTTCCTCGTTTGAGACACTGGCTAGAGGTTACGCTAAGTATATATTATGATCTGGCAGAAGGTGGAGTTCATGAATCACTGGATCAGATCCCAGTAGCTTAATGGTCTACAAGCTCACTCGCCTTGCAACCAGAAGGTCCTGATTTGAAAGCCTGGCGGTAGGTGTGTACTTTTGAAGAGTCCCAAATCAGGACGAAACAGCTGTCCACTACTCCCAGCTGGTTTCTCAATAATTTTCTAACGGATATCAGCTCATGATGAAATCCTGTAACCTACAGATTATTATTTTTAAATTTATTTTTATTTATATTTGTAAAATCTCAGCGAAATTAAAATGAGTAATTCCATGTTTCCCCACGTTTGGCAAACTGAATCAAACTTCTCCAGGGTAATTCATTAAAATTAAAATAACAAACCTATCGATCGATATATAAAAGGGACATACGTTGTCTTTGAAAAATCTTCTCTAGTCATGTGAATTATGAACAGATATCAAAATACATTAATAAACAAATAAAATTTCATGAACTGTAATCAACATTTGACTACATGACTTACAAACATTACGAGTTTGACCATGGATTGATATCAATTAGAGAGAAGAACTATTGAAAACCAAACATAAGGGAGTACTGGACAGCCAGATGTTTCATCTGCCTAGTTTGGGAATCATCGGCAGTACACACCCATCCACCTCTAGGGTTCGAACCCAGGACCTTCGGTTACAAGACAAGCTGGTTCGTACCATACCATTACTCAGCCACTGGGACCCGACTCTTCAATGACCATTCCATGAATTCTAACTTCTACGAATTCGTGATTTCGCGAGACCACCAACCAGTGTCATCGGTGGGACATTCATCCTCACACGTGACATCTAATTGGACCTCACTGGTCACGATGACTTCTCACTAGAACTCCACGAAACTCCATCCTGTAGCAAGTCGTCACTAACGAGCATCAGATTAATTTTCAAGGGATGGTTTGTAAGGAATAGTCTTGTTTTACGAGTTGACCATGGATTTATATCATTTAGAGAAGAACCGCTGAAAACCAGCACTGGAGTACTGGATAGCCAGCTGTTTCAACTGCCTAGTACGCACCCATCCAGTTTTCACTTGATGATCAGGACTCGTCATACATCAGCTAATATTACCCATATATGTAGGGCTTCTGTAGTCAGTCTTCCTTTGTACAAAGTAAAACTCTTCTGTAGAACCTTAGCGCTGATCATAAAAGTCGATCTTGTGTCCCGTTTCTATTGAATGTAGTGAAGTCGCCCATCTTTTTTTCTTTTTACCTTCTTCAAGTTTTGCAGCGGTCTTTTGTAGGAACCTACCTTTAGACAGTGTTTATGCCTTGAAGTTTCTCCTACACATACATAAGAGTCACAATTCCCATAACTGATTCGTTATACTCAATTTTCATTTTAGATAATATTTTATTTTGATAAACTGTCACATAGTGTTAGTTGTACAGTAATATTAACTGATGACCACGTTTCGAGCACAAATTATCGCCACTCATTGTCATATCAAGTCACTCACTCACACAACTTTCTTGCTTCATTTATATACATGAGTGAAATTGATGATTAGACATTTGAAAACAATCAACTATACGAGATAAAGTACATTTAGATGGGAGATAAGACGAGTGTTTCTATAGTTAAAATCAGTAACTTGTTAGAATGATATAATGTGAAGTGAATACATTTTAACATTATTTATTATCCTCCTCTGATTTGACAGACTGGTGGTAATAATATCTTCCATGGATATCTCTGGTATTTGCGTTGAGTCACTTCTGTTAGCTGTGTTGTGTTGGGTGTAGACTCACTCGATGGACAAAGATTCAGTAATCAACCTCTCTAGCTCTCCATCTACCTAGATTACTTTTTAGAATTTTAACCCTCTCCCACCACCTATTGTGTGGTGTGTGTGTTAATTCATCCATTGCGATTGCTGGGCTTTTTCTAATGACTTATCTTCGTGGGATTAATCATCCTTACCATAGGTAAATTCTTATGTTCTGATAATCTAACTACCCCCGGCCTCTTAGTTTGACCTATGTAGTTGACCTAACTCACAGTCATTGCAAGTTTATTTTGTAAATTATTTTTTTTAATTGGGTCCACCGGATCTTTTAGCCTACAGAGCTTGTCTCTGAGTAAGTTTGTAATGAGGTTATCAGAATATAAGAATTTAGCTAAGGTGAGAATGATTGACTCCGAGAAGATAAGTAATTTAGAAAAAAAATATCTCAGCTATAGCACTGCATGCATTAACACATAACCACACAATAGGGTGGGTAGAGCAGAGTCAAAATTCTAAGAAGTAGGTGGAGAGCGAGAGAGATTGATTACGGAATCCTGCCTGGTTCATCGAGTGAATCTACACCCAACACAACACAGCTAACAGAAGTGACTCAACGCAAATACCAGAGATATCCATGGAAGATATTATTACCACCAGTCTGTCAAATCAGAGGAGGATAATAAATAATTTTAAAATGTATTTACTTCACATTATAGATATGATAGAGAAGATTTGTAGCTCAGGTGGATAATTTTGATGTGGTTTTGTTCTCTGAGCTGGATGGTTAGTTTGCGAAGCTTTCATCGCCCTACTGGGTGACATCTTCAGCGCATACTTCAATTTGAAGTGAGCTTTTAAGTTTCTCCACGAGTTTATTGATCATTCCTCCTGGTGACCTTGGACGTGATTGGTTGTTTATGTGTGTTTTCACACCTTCTAGGTTATTTGTGTTGGAACTGATTGTTTCTGTGACTTGAACTTTGACCCTTTGTGTCTGAAGTTTCTTTCTTATTGGTTGATAAATTTTGTCTATCTCGATGTGTCTATTGATTGATGATTCACTGGAATGCCAAATATTAGACAAAGGAAATAAGAAGAATGCTAGAGAATTTTTGGAAGCTTGGCATTCCAGTGAATCATCAATCAATAGACACATCGAGATAGACAAAATTTATCAACCAATAAGAAAGAAACTTCAGACACAAAGGGTCAAAGTTCAAGTCACAGAAACAATCAGTCCCAACACAAATAACGTAGAAGGTGTGAAAACACACATAAACAACCAATCACGTCCAAGGTCACCAGGAGGAATGATCAATAAACTCGTGGAGAAACTTAAAAGCTCACTTCAAATTGAAGTATGTGCTGAAGATGTCACCCAGTAGGGCGATGAAAGCTTCGCAAACTAACCATCCAGCTCAGAGAACAAAACCACATCAAAACTTCACATTATATCATTCTAAATAGTTAGTTATTTTTACTGTAATAAACATCTTATTTCCCATCTTACTAAATTTTATTGATAACACTGGTTCCTGTGGAGCCCGTTACATAGGCCGTACATTTAGGCGTGTTTATCGTCGGATTTCCAAACATCATCATGCGTGGTTGGTTAAGGAAAGGACAAACAAAATCTACTCACATAGCGCTATTCTATCTCACTCATTTTGTGGATACAGAACACACAAGATTGATGATGTTAACGAGGCAGCTTTCAAATTTAATTTACCACATACCAATAAATCTTAACTTCGCCTCAAGAGTTCGTCAAATACATATTACTGAGTCTGGCTGTTGGGATCCACATTAAGAAGACTAACTCATGTATCAAAAAGAAGTTGGTTGGTTCACACACTGTCCTTACCCTCCTAGTCATCTAGGTTCGAATGATCCTCAGTTTGTCGTGGAAATGTCCCTAATCTTAGTTGATATTCTAGTGGCTACTATATCTTTATTATTATTATTATTATTATTTAAGCAACTGTGGTAATTCCATTGTGATCTTACCTAACAAATCGATATCATTTAAAAAACACACCAATATTGTTATTTTGATAAAGAAAGGAAGACGAAATTTGCAATATTAAATGATATCATTCTATTTCACAGGTTCTCATCAGCTGCAGACTACCTGAAATTACAATGGTTATATAGATGATAATAACATACTTTAATGTTCGAGTGGTGGTAGAAAAGAGATACTATAAAATTGACGCATCTAAATGAAAGCATTACAATGTTTTTAGTTTAAGTTTTCATCATCAATTTATACGCTTTTAAAGTTGAAAAGAGGGGGAGGGGTAAGAGAGAAAACAGAAAAAATTGATTAACAGAACAGTGTTAGCTTTTAGGTTCACATAGCAACTCAAGAAACAAAAAACAAAACGGTTACAGTTTATGAGATTAAGATTTGTTCAGTGAGTTGAGATCACTGAATTAGATGACTAATCAAAATCAAAATTCTGTTACCAAGGGAGTGAGAGGTTAATCACACTCTCTTTCTGTATGCATAAGTCTGGTTTAAGTCTTTTGATTGCGATTGCTTCGGCAAATCGTAGTAAATTTGCTGTCCTTTGTCTATTTAATATTTTGAAGGACTTAGAAATCTCTACGAGATGTCCGGTATCAATAATGTGTCTGGTAATTGCACTCTGGGAATATCTGCTTCCTTTCAGGCACAGGTTTTTGGGAATATGTTCAGAAAACCGGATAGAAGCCCTTCTTTCTGTCCTTCCAATGTACTTGCTCCCGCAAGTGCACGTGAATTCATAAACGCAGTTGGAGGTGACATCAGCAGGGTATTTATCCAGTTTTGAGTGGATTAAAGAAGGAGTGGTGCTGTATACTGTTATGAGTTTTGCTGCTGGGAAGCTTCTATTTATTGCACCTTTCAGTCTTTTGTCAATCTTTTGTGACACTGCATCTCCTTTGTATGGTAGACAGATAAACACTTTTTTCTTTTCTACAGTTGGATGCTTTTCTTTCTCATCTTTTTCTCTGCTGTACTTCTGAATAAATCCCTTAGGGTATCCATTTTCCCTTAGGCATTTCTCGACGAAAACTAATTCTTCTTCGACCCTGTTTGGTGAACATAGCTTCCTGGCTCTGTCATACAAAGTCCTCACTAATCCACGTTTATAGCTTATGGGACAAAAGCTGTTATAGTGAAGATATTGTCCAGTCCAGGTTTCTTTTCTATAGATGGACTTTTCGACTGTGCCTTCGTTTGTTCTTTTTACATTTAGATCCAGGAAATTGAACTCATTATTATGTTCATATTTCATGGTGAATTTGATATTTGGATGTATCTCATTTAGGCGATCATATAGTGCCGATGCGTGATCCATATCGTTGCAAACAACAAATGTGTCTTCCTTTCTTTATCGAAATTTATCAAGGGAACCAAATGTATGAATATTGTTATTGACTACTATTCTAGAATATTCATATAATCATACAGATATCCTTGTAGAGCCAGAAGAGGCGGAAATTATCCAAAAGGATATTCATTGCTCAATTTTTTATGTTTTATCTTATATTGATTTTTATTCAAATGCCTAATCATCAGTTTTCACTCATGTATATAAGTGAAGCAAAAAGTTATGTGAGTACCTTGATATGATTATGAGTGGCAATAGTTTGTGCTCGAAACGTGCACGTTATCAGGTAATATTACTGTATAACACTACACTATGTGACTTGATCAAAATAAAGTCTTATCTATAATGGTGTTATATTCTACCCCAATAGTGACCAAGTTTTATCCTTCTATGTATCCTCAATTTTATTGATTATCGTCTTCTATTTTATCCTTAAACTTCACTAGTAATGATGGGTGTAAGGTGTCCGTTGCACGAAACAATAATAATAGTGGTAGCAATAATAATCTTAGAACAATTAGTCCCTTTGATAAATTTGAATAAGGCATTAAGAAGACAAATTTCGTGAGATGATATCGTCATTTCGTAGTTTCTTTACAACCGCTTTACAACTAACATGGTTAACAATGATAAAATAAAGTTCATGAAAATTACTCGTTAAATAAAAACAAAAGTACCTACTAATGACCAATCATATTTAGATAGGTCATGTAGTCAGGGCTCGAAAAATATGTACGAGTGACACATTGATGGATGAGCTTCGACATATACATTCAGTTTTACTAGCCAATGGTTATCCAGAAAACTTCATCAATTGTCACGGTAAGGATAGACCACATCTTGAAAAGACAGCTTCTGTACCAAAGAAAGCCATCTTTATTAATCTGCCATTCAAGGGCGACCAGATTATGCAGTTGACAGCTCAAAGACTTCGGTCAGCCATCAAACGCACATTCTACGCAGCATCCCTTTTTCTCACTTGCCGAACATTTTCGATCCCTGTACCTACGATTAAAGGACGAAATTCTGTGGACTCTACTTCAAACTGTATCTACAAGTTCACCTGCAGCTACGGTGACACCTATATAGGTAGAACTAACAGAATGTTCCAATGTCGTCGAAAAGAACATATTCCAAAATGGCTAGTAAATCATATCGAAAATCCTAACGCGATTAATCTTAATAGAAATCCAGCATCATCCATTGCAAAACACTTATTAATGTCTGGTCACAAAATAAATATTAATGACTGTTTCACAATTATTTCACATAACTCTAATTCAGGATGGTTATTGAAGGTGATGGAAGCACTTTGGACTAATCACATACAGCCTAAACTGTGTGTACAAAAATCAATAGACTTCAATCTTCGCCTACCCTGGACTGCATGACATATCTTAATATGATTGGTCATTAGTATGCACTTTTGTTTTTATTTAACTGAGTAACTTTCATGAACTTTATTTTATCATTGTTAATCATGTTAGTTGTAAAGCGGTTGTAAAGAAACTACGAAATGACGATATCATCTCGCGAAATTTGTCTTCTTAGTGCCTTATTCAAATAATAATCTTAGCAAATATTTCCTTTTGTAAGAAATTATATTTGTAAAATCTTAACGAGACTAAAATGAGTAATTCCAAAGTTTCCTGAGTTCGGAAATCTGGTCCGAACTTCTTTTTCAGGGAAATTAATCGAAATTAACTAACATAACAGAGATTTTTATAGGTATAAAAGGAACATCTTTTGTTTTTAAAAACTTTGTCCAAACATGAGTCATAAAACAAGTATCAACAAGTATAATAAACAAACTTGTGTATGAGCTGTGATCAGAATTTGACCTCAGACTTACAAATATTGATCTACCTTTGTTAAACACTTTAAACACAGTGTGTATGTGTGTGTGTGTGCGCGGATAAACAGTTGTAAAACAATGTCTTAACGTCTCCATAAGTAGATATAGACAGTCGGGAAACTTTGACCAAGTACTATTAGTTAGTGATACATATCCATTCTTATTTATTAATCAGGATTCCCTATACATCAGCTAACAAGATCCCACCTTCATGTCTGTTCAAACTATTAGTGTCTAGAATTTCATGATTAGACGTATTTTCAAAATTATGGTGTTTAGGATTAGAGTTTAGTTGAAGCACCCTGTCGGACTTATTGCTTTGTCTTCTTTCTGAAGATTGAGCTGCTTTATTCGACCTACTGGAGTTGTCAGGTGACTGGACAGCTACGGATTTAGGATATGCCTTTTGTTGCAGACAACGGAGATAGACTAATATTTGTAAGTTCGAGGTCAAATTTTGATCACAGTTCATACACAATTTTGTTTATTATACTTGTTGATACTTGTTTTATGACTCATGACTGGACAAAGTTTTTACAAACAAGTGATGTTCTTTTTATATATAAATCTCTGTTATGTTAATTTTGATGAATTTCTCTGAAGAAGTTCGGACGAGATTGTCGAACACAGGAAACGTTGGAATTACTCATTTCAATCTCGCTGAGAGTTTACAAATATAATTTTTTACAAATGTCTACTTCTCACTCGGTACCCAAATATTTTACAACTATTCTGTCAAATTTTTACGACAGTTCATTGGAATATTTCCTTTCCTTCCAACAGGTGCATTTATCCTCTTAGACATCCTCCTTGAACAAATGCGTCATGAGAAGGCCGTGGATGTTTTCAGCGCAGTGAGTCGTTTACGCGCACAACGTAACTTTATGGTACAAACAGAAGATCAATACGCTTTTATCTATGAAGCTTTGGTGGAAGCTGCATCCAGTGGTAATACAGAAATACCAGTTCAACAGTTGGCCAATCATTGGACACGTTTAACCGATTTAAATCGTATCAAGGGTCAAGATCAATTGAATTCTTCTGATCAAATCAGTTTGTCAGTGAAATCATCGATTTATACAAATTCAACAACAATATCAACTGGTTTAGAACTGGAATTTTATCATTTGTTGACGCAATCGAATTTAACAAAGTTAATCTCATCGATTCCATCGTCTATTGGATTGTTATCACCGATTGATCCAATCTCGAATAAAGAAGATGAAAGAGGTGGGAATGGTTGCTCGAGTATACCACGTCTACCACCGCCAATTGGATTGGGTATGAATAAAACTGGATTGGCAGCTACTCTACCGGTAAGTAGAACCCTACAAGGAATATATATATAAATATATACTGTTATCATTATTATTTCCTTAGGTCCCTTGTAGAATATAGGTCTTCAGTAGCGTATCTCCGTTTCATCCTGCTCTCTGCAGTCGTCTTTAACTAGTTCCACGATCGCCTGTAAGCTCTCGCCTACTGTTTACACACTCTGCTCCATGTCAACCTAGAGCTTTCTCGCCTAACTCATGGTTTTCCCTTCTCTTTTTGTAGTCCATTAGTATATCTACAATTTCATCATGGATGTACTAATGGACTTCATCCTAACTAAGTGACCCAGAGACTGACTTGTTACCATCAGCGGAATAATCCCGTGGACTTAGAATATGCAGAGGATATAGTCATCCCACCTGGGTGAAAATGCTGACAAAATAGAGTAGAGTCTTCTGAACATCTTGAATGGCAATCTGCGAATGTTTGGCATGCGATTCCCTCTCGTCAAATGTAAGATGATGCTGCAGGACTGAACTACATTGACTCGTAACTTAGAAATAGGGAGTGAAGTGATTACTGAGCGTGTTGACCACTTCACTCATTCAGGAAGCTGCATCAGCGAACTCCAATGGGTTGATCGTTGATAAAATCTCAGAACGGATACAGAAAGCTAGTTTCTTATATGCTAGTTTACATCATCTCTGGCGTAGACTTGATATCCGGGTGGCTGGTTATCGACAAAAGGGCGAGTGTACTGCTCACCAGTCCGCTCCGTCCTCCTTTATGGCCGTGAGAACTGGCCATTGAGAGTGGAAGACATGAAAAGGCTACTCAGCTATCTTTGATCACAGGTGCCTGCGCTATATCTCCCGTGTTAAGTGGTGGTATAATAGAGTGAGCAATACTGAGGTTAGGCGTCCACCAAGTGCCAGGTAAGTACGAGGGGAAATCAGTCGACGAGGCTGTGAAGCCACATCGACTGAGTTGGTTAGGACATGTGTTACGAATGCCTAGCCATCGTCTTCCTCGACAATCGACAATGTTAGCTTACTTAGTGTCAGGTTGGAAAAGAGCCAGATGGTGGTGGTCAAAGCATAACATGGCTTCATCAGTCAGCCAAATGCACAACGGTTAGTTTAAGCCATCCAGCCACGTAGGAAGGTGTAGACTTCTTGACTGGTTGGGGTCCTCGGGACGGTAAACACCAATGAAGGCTGGAGACAATCTGTCATATGGTTCAAAATCGTTGTCAATGGCTAGTGCAGATGCATAGAAGTGGTCGGGTGCGAGATCTTATCCTATGGGCTTCTGCAGATCAGTGGGAGATTACAGAACACTACTCCCATTGCTGCCTCAGAAAAAGTTCTCAAAGAAGTGGAAATTCTCTACCCTAAAAACATCACTAAGTAGATCCCTTTTGAAGTCGAGGTTCATATAAAGTATCTTTTTTTGGCACGGATAGCCTCTCTTGTTTTTTGGATTTTCTGTTTGATGTTTTTGTCTATGAATCTTGATGGATATCTGTTTTGTATGAAGATTTCTTTCAGGAAGTAGTTCTTCTTGTCCAGGGTATCAGAGCTGAAGATGTGTTGGACGCGAGTAGCAAGAGATCTAATTAGGTTTCTTTTTCGACTGATGAATACCCACCCAGCTCTAGAAGCTTTTCGGTTGACTTTCCTATAGATGGAGTTTCTTAAATTTCCATCAGCTCTTCTTGTAAGTTCAACATCAAGAAAAGGAATTTTAGAATTAAGTATTGCTTTTCAGAAGCTCTAGTCATTCAGTTAGAAGAACCAGAAGTATGCATACAAAAGAAAATTATTTTTAACCATTACTTCTACTGTGGTGAGAGCTGTCTGCTAGCCAAAAATTGCAGACAACAATTTACGTCTCGAATAGGGGTCATGAGAAAAGACAAGAACAAAGCCTAACCTTGAGGAACTCACCGACCAATCACAGCAGACTTAATGTGTGCAAATACGATTCGCAGATTTATGGCTTAACTTTCTGAGGAAAGGCCACAAGCAATACAGAATAGCTTTCAGCAAGAAAACAACCACTTGTCAGAAGAGGTTGCTTCTCCGCTGAAAATTATGTACATAAAAATCTATAAATATCTGTTGATTTTGTCAATAAACAACCTGTTTCCTGGCCCTTGTCTTCTGTCGTTACACCCCCACTATCATGGTAACAACTCTATTCATTTGACTCAACAACATCTTTCTCTTATATTTTATTTTCCCCTGTTATTATTTAGGTTAATATACCTAAAAATCGTAACCTGACGATTATACCGCATGATGCTAATCGTGTCGCCTTGAAAGCTGTACGTGGTGTAGATGGCTCTGATTATATCAATGCAAGTTATATTGATGGCTATAGGTCACGTGCTGGTTACATCGCAACACAAGCACCAATGAACAATACACTCGAAGATTTTTGGCGAATGATATGGGAATCTGGTTCATGTTTAATTGTTAAGCTGGACAGTAGTACTTTGATGCCATCGATTGATGGTAAATTTATTGATTCAGTAAGTTTTATTATTGTTGTTATTATTATGCAATATACTATTATATTATTGTGAATATTATTATAGTGGGAAACGGGAAGACAGGAATATCCTGAACCCACGTGAACAACCTAGGAAACCTAGATTTCGCATGTGGATGATTTATGTTTGATGTCACTGTCACAAAATCGAAGACTTACAAGCGAAAACTGATCGACAAACTGGTCGAAGAATCAGCCGGCGAAGACAGGACTCCAGGTGAACAACCAACCAACAATAACAACAACAGAAACATTCAGCACCAATCACCATCAACGGGAGGGATTTGAAAGAGGTTACCTCATTCACTCACCTATCTAGGGAGCATTGTCTCAACTAGACGCAGTCGGAACGGACGAGGATGTCAAATCGAGCGAGAAACACATTCACTCATCAACCTGGAACCAATCTGGAAATCTTCGTCACTCAGCCAACATCAACAACAAAATTCGGTTGGATTTTCAATACAAACAAACGTGAAGTCAGTCAGTTCTTCTATACGGATCAGAAACTTGTCGGGCGGGTGACAAAGAATATTTCCAACCAACAGGCTAACTCAGAGCTTTATCAACAATTGTCTTCACTGGCTCTATATTGAAGATCAGGCGACCGGGCCAGAAAGAATCACCAACAAGAAACTATGGGAAGAAACAAACAGAACAAGAACCGATCGCCCAACAACAACAAATATGCAAGAGAAAGTGGAGATGGATTGGACACTACTCGTTGAGGAGGCCGCTGGGTGACATCGCGCGAGCGTCAGGCCATTCCTCGAGTGGAACCAGGCCGAAAGGAAGCGGCGAGTGGGACTTCGGTGCAAGGGTGACATGGAGGAGATCGTGTGAAGAGGAGTTGAAACAGTATGGACTAAGATGGATGGATGCAGTTGAAAAGTACAGCAGAAGGAAGACAGAAGTGGCAAGTGGAGACGTGCATTTGAAGCCCTATGTTCCACTAGGAACCCAAGAGAACATTAATAACTAATAATAATTATCCTGTCCTCTACAGTCCTCTTCAACTGGCTCCCACCCCTTCCTCCCGTTATCTCCTCCTTTCCTTATTCGAGTTCTACGCGAAGGCCTGCTAAGCACGTGATATCACTCGAAAGTCTCCTCAGTGTCCCCCTTGATCCATCTCCATTTCGTTATATAGTAGGTTCTTGATATTGGTTCGTTGTCAGCCAGAGTTCCTTTTTGTTAACCCTCTTCCGATTAACCATCTTCTCTTCAGCAGCCAGCCAGAGAAGACAGCTGTTGTCAAGACACAATTATGAAGAGATATCTAACAATATAGACTTAAATACGAATCGATATCAGGTATATAGAATCACTGACAGGTAAGCAGTACTGGACAGTGAACACCCATGAATTTATCATGGGTAGGATCAAGGATATCCATCTGTATGACTTTCTGAGGTTAGTAACCTTCCCAATCACTTGGCTGGCATCCAGTGTCTTATGAATTCTAACCTCTAAAGGTTCTAGGTGTGATCGCTGATGAAATCATAGGTAGGCATGTACTGATGAAAGAGCTATTGAGTAGTACCTCCCTGTCTTTCACCACTAGTTCGGGACGAGGTGTACTCGATTCTATTATATTTTTTTTATCATTATTTTCTTGGTTCCAAATGGAACATACGGCTTCGACAACATACCTCCACTTTCTTCTATTTTCTACCGTCCTCTTCAGCTGACCGGCTCCACGATTATTATTATTATTATTGTATCCTTTAGTTCCTAGAGGAACATAGGGCTTCAGCTGCGCACCTCCATTGACTTCGGTTTTCTGACAACTTTTTCACCCTGCTCCAGGTCTGACTATAATCTCTCATCTCCTCCTCGCATGACCTCCTCCAAGTCACCCTTGGACGACCAACTCGCCGCCTCCCTTTCGGGTTCCACTCGAGGGCTTGTCTAGTGATGTCACTTGATGGTTTCCTCAGCGTATGGCCAATCCATCTCCATTTCTTTCTGCCTATTTGTTTCACAATCGGTTCCTGATTGGTTCGCTCCCAGAGATCCCTGTTGCTGATCTTTTCTGGCCATCTGATCTTGAGTATTGAGCGGAGACAGTTGTTAATGAAGGTTTGAAGTTTGTTTGAGATGCTCTTTATGACTCGCCAAGTCTCTGATCCGTATAGTAGCACTGACTTCACATTGGAGTTGAAAATCCGGATCTTATTTTTGATGCTGAGTGCTGTTGACCTCCACACAGATTTGAGAGTAATGAAAGCTTGTCTTGCTTTTCCGATTCTGGCTTTGATGTCCTCGTCAGTTCCGCCTGTAGTTGAGACGATGCTTCCCAGGTAGGTGAAGGAGGTTGTTTCTTTCAGGTTCTTCCCATTTATGCTTATTGTGGTCTGTTGTTGTTGTGCTGTTGATGTTGGCCAGGAATCTTCATCATCTCTGTTTTATCTATGTTCACGTGAAGTCCTATCTTTGATGCTTCTTCTGCCAACTTGTTACTTTTCACTTGCATATCTTCCAGTTTATGGGAAATCAGACATATATCATCGGCGAAATCCAGATCCTCCAAGTCTTTTGTGTCAGTCCATTTTATGCCTGTTCCCTCGTTGGTTGCCGTTGTCTGTCGCATTATCCAATCAATTGCAATCAGGAAGATCATTGGTGATAGTAGACAGCCTTGCCTCACTCCCGTCCTCACTTCGAAGGCTTCCGTAAGTTTCCCGTTGTGGATTACTTGGCATGCAGCATTGTCGTATAACTGTTGGATGAGGTGTATAATTGTCGATGGGACCCCGTAGTAGCGAAGTAGTTTCCAAATGACCTCTCGATCGACGCTGTCGAAGGCCTTTTCAAAGTCGATGAAGTTGAGATAGAGAGGTGACTGCCATTCCAAGCTTTGTTCAATGATGATCCGTAGAGTGGCGATTTGATCAATACATGATTTGTTTCTCCTGAATCCAGCCTGTTCCGGACGAAGTTTTTCATCTAGGGCTTGTTTGATTCTCTCCAGGATGATGCGACTTAGTATCTTGCTTGGAATGGACAGAAGCATAATTCCACGCCAGTTTTTACATTGACTTAAGTCTCCTTTCTTTGGAAGTTTGAATAAGTATTGTTCTTCCAATCCTCGGGTACTTTGCCCTCTTTCCACACCTTCTCCAGTAGTGGTGTCATCAAGTCCGCTGTTGTCTCTGGGTCTATTTTCAAAGCCTCTGCTGGGATTCCATCTGGTCCGGTGTTTTCCCAGTTTTAAGCATCTTGATTGCATTCAGGACTTCTGATTTCGTCGGGGGGTCAGTGTTCACTGGTAGTTCTGCTTCCGTTGTTGGTATTGCTGGACGTGTTGTAGGTGGCGGACGATTTAGAAGTCTTTTGAAGTGTTCAACCCAGTGCTTTCTCTGTTCCACCTCTTTGGTGATTGACTTTCCATTGTCGTCCTTTATTGGCTTAATCTGTGTCGAACGTTTGCCCGAAAGGTTCCTAGTTGTTTGGTAGAGTGTGGCGAGGTCTCCTTTGCCTGCAGCTTGTTCTGCTTCGTTTGCCATGGTTTCATAATATTTTCTTTTGTCTTCCCTGGCACTTTCTTCACTCTTTTGTTCAGTGTATTGTAGCTTGCATTCAGCTCCTGTTTTTGTTGCTCGTCAGTGCACTGGATAATCTTTTGCTTCACTGTCCTTCTCTCTTCTATTAGTTTCCAAGTGTCCGTAGTGAGCCACTGTTTGTCCTGTCTCTTTTTCTGCCTAGAATTTCTATGCAGGTTTGGCTCCACACCGTTTTCAAGTTGTTCCAGTGCTTTTCAACGCCGACCTCTTCGCTAGTGTTGATTTGTGTCTCGGCTTTGTCCTTTATGCTTGCAATGAAGATGTCCTTTGTAGCCTGGTCCTTCAGCTTTTGAGTGTTGAACTTGGCTTGTGGTCTATCTGCAGCTCCTGATTCCCTGAAAGCTTTTAATTTGATTTGGATTGTCCCTTGTACGAGATAGTGGTCTGAGCCAACGTCTGCTCCTCTTCTTGCTTTTGTGTCCAGTAGGCTGCGCCTCCACTTCCTTGAGATTGAGATGAAGTCGATTTGGTTTTTGGTTTGCCCGTCTGGTGACACCCATGTAGCCTTGTGGATATCTTTGTGCTTGTATACACTGCCACCAATCACCAGTTCGTTGAAGGCGCAGAAGTCGGCGAAGAGTTCTCCGTTTTCATTCATTTCTCCTAGAGCTTCTCTACCCATGATGAGTTCCGTATTGTCTGGTCCCAGTTTGGCGTTCATGTCTCCCATTAGTATTTTCATGTCGCCAGCTGGAGTATTGTCCATTGTTGCCTGTAGTTGCCTGTAGAATTCTTCTTTCTTCTCGAGGTCTGCGTTGTTTGTGGGTGCATAACATTGTATGATTGACACTTTCCTTCCTTTGGAGTTGAACCTGGCGGTCATTATCCTGGACGAAATCGCCTCCCATTGTATCAGGGCTTTCGTTGCCGTTGGTGACATCATGATAGCCACGCCCTCGGTGTGCGTGTGGTTATCTTCTGGGTGACCGGAGTAGATCACTGACTCACCTGTTGACAATTTGGTGAGTCCACTCCCATTCCATCTGCCTCACATATTCCCAGCACTTGTATTCCGTATCTTTTCATCTCGTTGGCGATCTGGGCAGCTTTCCAGTCTCGTACATAGTTCGGACGTTCCATGTTCCTACACAGACTTTTTCTTTTGGTGCAAGAGGTTCATATGAAGTTCTGTAGCAATTTGTTTACAGGGTGGGGTTGCTAGCCTCACGCCTGAGAAAAGAATGATTACATTAAGAAAAGTTTAGAGAGAAGCAACTTTTTGGGTTGCTCCCCTCAAAATCAGAAAATAACGGACAAACAATGAGAACAACATCAACAAAGGAAACAGTTCACAGAAAAAAGGGCAAAAAGCGACGACAACTATACAATAAACAACATGCAATATAGTTCAGTACAGTTAACTAAAATGATATCTTAACCATAAACTCACTGACTTGGAGCAACTTGAACATATAAATCCAACAATATATACAATTATAGATGTGTTTATGTTTAAAAATTCCACAAATCCAAATAGTTATGTGTATTATCTGTCAATAAGATTGTATTTTTTGGATTCAGTGTTCGAAAGGTTAATAATTGTGAACGCACTTGCATAAAATTTTAAGAAAGTCCAGCCCGATCTCCCACATGTCTCTCATTGAGATTCCACTGGAGAGATAGCCTACACTGCGCGGGATGTCAATCAACGGCCTCCTCAGTGGCGTATACCCAACCGATACATCTCCATTTTCTCCTGCATATCTGTGAAGCGATCAGCTCTCTCTCTCGCCTGTTGGTTTATTCCCAACCAGAGTTTCTTGTTACTAATTCTTTCTCACCGGCCATTTGATCTTCAGTATGGAGCCAGCCAGCCAGCCAGCGCAAGTGGCAGCTGTTAATGCAAGTTCACAATCTGTGGTGTACCCTGAACATTTGAAGGAGGGCCAAAAAATACTCAATAAAACACAACTATCAAGAGATAGTTTATTAATTGAATTTCAGATTGGACCGAAGTGCTCAGTCTCAAGTTGATATGTCTGTTAGCATCTTGTGCAGATGCTTCGAAGATGTCTGGGCATGTGATTAGAATATAACTGGTAAATGGTGATTAGCAGTAGAATCCAGGATAACGTGCATTTCGTCCTATTTTGGACTCGTCATCCGGATGTATCTGCACTCCGTAGTCAGTGAGTGATGATGTACCCACCGAGGCTCGTGACCTAAGTGGTCTAGTGGATAACGCTTTGACGTTTGAAACTATGTGGGCACTGGGTTCGAGCCTCGTTGGGAACATAATCACTCACTGCGCGGAATGCAGGTACATCCAGCTAGCTGACGAGTCCCAAATGGGACGAAATGCACGTCATCTTTGATTCTACTGCTAGTCACCATCTACCAATTAAATATCAAGAGTTAAGCTTGAATAAATTGAAAGATGACTGTAATAGCATATTCTTTGGTAGGAGCTCAAGTCGTGCCTCCTAACGACGTGTTGCGGAGAGAAGAGGGGAGCAGTCAGCATTTTTGACTGCTCAAGTTACTGATAGATAGTTCTTTTATTTATTTTGTCATCTATGGTGTGTCATGAGTGCGTTCTGATGAATAATCTCAAACTTGGGAAACAACTGCTCTTCAGTACTCCACACTGGTTTCCAGTACTTCTTTAAATGATGTCGATTCCTGATCAACCATGGAACCAATCAAACCCCTACAAACCAACTCCTGAAAATTAATCTGTTACGTGCCGGTGACTGACTACAGGCGGATGAAATGTGCCTGGAGTTCTAGCGGGATGTTATGACCAGTGAAGTCCACAAGGTTTGGCGTGAGGATATTTGTTTAAGGTCGCGGTAAAATCATGAATTAGTAGAACAAGGGATGTGGTTAAATGTTCTACGAGTTAGAATTGTGACCGGAAGATCCTGGCTTCGAACCCCTATGGGTGCCCTACGATGAAGACTCACAAACTAGGACGAAACAGCTGTCCAGTACTCCACTGCTGGTTTTAAATGGTTCCCCAACGGATATCGATCTGTGATTAAAATTCAAAAAACCAATCAAATTCCTACAAAATAGCACTGACTAAAGGGGGACAAAGTTGACTGAAGTTCTAATACGAATTCGTGACCCATGGAGTCTGTCACGTCGAGTGTGTGACACTCGTTGGCAGTCGTGCTTTAAATCGCAAATTAACAGAAGTTGGAATTCTTAGGCCAGTCATCAAGCTCGTCTTGTAGACTGAAGTTCCTGGGTTCAACCACTACTGAAAGGAGATGTAGGTAGCTGCTGTTGAAGAATCCAAAACTAGAGCAAAACATCCATCCAGTACTGCCTGTTAGTTATCAGAAACCAATCAACCAGTAAAGTACGCTGATGATTTAACAATTTCAATTGCTGTTAACTCCCAGCTAGACTGCACCAAAATAAATAGCTTTCTGTCGGAAGTCAGTAAATGGTCTGGGTCTAACGTTCTTAAACTGAATCCTTCTAAATTTCACACTGTTAATTTCAGCTTAAGATGTAAAATACAGTAAAAAGAAGCCGTCGATTCTCATGACAGTTGTAAGATTGACGACAATAATATAGGAATTAAATCAGAAATTAAGTATCTTAGACTGTATTCTCTTTTCCGATCTCTCTCTCTCCTGGTCTTCCCATGTCTCAACGATCTCCAGTGAAATATTCCGCCTGACATTTTACATTAAGACGTTAAGGCACTCGGGTATAACTCAAACTCTCCTCTTACAGTTCATAAACTCTTGCATCCTACCTATTCTTATTTATTGTTCACCCTCACTTATTCTTTCCTGGTTTGCTTAAAAAGGACTATGTCACAATTCGTAGAATACTGAAGACTGTTAGTAGGGTGAGTGGTGTCCCAGTGCATCACATAGTTAACGTCGTTATCGATAGGCACTTGACTTCGTGCAATAAATTTGCTGGAGGGTTTTGTCTGACGTGTAGCATCCACTTTACCCTCTGCTTTCACCTTGCATCTCCTCAGGTAGAACAAGAAGTAACTTCAGAAAACTGTATGCTCGCACGTCTAAGCATAAAAATCCTATGATACCATAATTGGAACGTATTTTATATGATGAAAATAGTGTCAAGTAAGAATTAACTAACCTTTTTTCATCTAGTAAATAAACAATTTCCTCCATCCATCCTTATATACCTTCAAGTTTTACTTTTATTATTTCTATTACATTTATGGTCCTGTTGCTTCTTCGTTTGTTTTACTCTCATAATTGCAAACATCAACTTATCTCTATGACTACTGTAATCTTTATTTTTCCCCCTCACCATATCATGTAAGCAGAACATTATATTCAATATTTTTAAACATGCTAGGATTTCCATACCGCGTCGACAATACTGTGTGAAACAAGCCCACGGCAATTTTCACTTGTATTATTATTATCATCTTAGCTGTTATCATAATTATTATTATTTCCATTTTATATGCTGCATGTTTTTGACATTACCCACCCCTATTGTAAATGTGGAAAGTTTTTCTGTGTGATTAATTTTTATTTATAGTTTGAGGGAATTAGATGCAATATCGTGTGTGATTAATGCTGAAAATTCCATTCTGTATCACAAGTACTGTTTTTGGAATAAAGCAAATCATTATTATTATTTATTGTTATTATTATTAACCAGTAAATATTCACATTAAAACCCTAATCTGAGTTTTCTTTCTTCATTTTTAACAGCCAACCTACTGGCCAAACTTACAATCAGCACGTCATGGATTCTTAGTTATCGATCCAATAGCCACATATACCATGCCCGCTTATATTATGCGTGAATTACGTCTAACAGATACACGTGATGGTAGTTCACGGACGATTCGTCAATTTGACGCCAGTTGTACAGCAAATTCAATTATACATCTTGAAAAACAAACCTATGCCACCTCGAGTAATAGTAGTGAATTCCTTATTGAATCATCCCCGTCAATAACAACAACTACAACAACAAACGGGGGTGGTATCGGCTGCAGTCGAGGAGTATCACTATCACCGAATCCACTCCTCCTGGAGACATCATTTACAGAAGATGATTATCTACGTGTGAATCATATCCCCAGTCAAGTGTTGACAACATTTAGACAATGTTATCAACCGTTGTGTGAATCAATGCTCGAGTTGATTAGTCAGGTGCATAAAACTAAGGAACATTTTGGTATGGAAGGACCAATTACTGTACATTGCAAGTGAGTTATTTCAAAATCTTATCTTGATCGATTGATTGATTGACTGATTTTATTGATCTCAGATGGATCCTTCACAATGTATTAAAATGGTAGACAGGATAACATTTAATCAGTTGGTAGACGTTGTCTTGGATTCGAGTCTCAATGGAGTGATACTATCACTCACTGAGTAGGATACAAATGTTTTCAATTGATGAGTCTCTAATAGGATGAAGTTTGCCTTCTGGATTCCACTGCTGTCTTTCCCATCCACCAATTGAGATGACGAGAGATGTGGTAACTCGATACACAGATATGGGCAAGATTCGTCTACCATATTGTAGAATCACAATTTGCATTTATCTTAGGCACTGGGCTGCTTTGCCTTCCTTACTGTTCTATTTTGTCTGCCTGCCATGTTTTCTATGTTGTTCCACAAGCATCCTACTTTAAATACGTCTCCCTGCCATTCGACATTCTTGGCTCCGATACAAATATTTATAGCTTCATTTATATACTACTTATAAATCTTTTCAGTAGCACACGTCACAAATCTAGTTTTTCATATATTTCGAAAGGATAAAGTTGATTGATGGTTGTTTGTCAGTCTAATCATGACAGATTTCATCACAAGTTTACATCAGTTAGAGAAACATTGGAAGGCTAGTAGTGGAGTACTGGACAGATGTTTCGCCTTAGTCTTGGACTCACCAGATCCTTGATGGTCACTAGTGACTGGCTCTATACAAGTTACCTGGAGTTATGGAGTTATGGATAGATTAAGGTTAGGAAAACGAATTAAAGGATCAAATTTACTTTTGGACACCACTGTTATTTCCAAAGTCATTGATAAGTTCACACTTTTTGAGGATCAAAACTGTCCGGTCTCTATGTTTATATATTGGCTTCTACTATAGGCACTTCAATGATGATTAACGTGAAGTTATCCAAGAATCCTGTAAGATAGGTATTTCGTCCCATTTGGGACCGATTCGTCAACCGAACGTACCTGCATTTCCAGTGAATGATAGAGTCCTCACCGGGACTCGAACCAACAGTCCATTGTTTTAAATGTCAATGAACAAGAGGTGGCTTTCATGGTTCAAATGATCTAGTGGACTGACTGACTGGTTTCAACGTAGAACTTTGCACATATGTGCAGCAGTTCATGTCGCCACACTTCACTCAGCACACAAAGCAAGAGAAGAAAGTAAAACAAAATGCAAAACAGAGATATGAGGCAAAAAGAATAATAATATCGAAACACAATTTAGTTTTATTGGAAATTATAAGTCACAAGGATTGGATGCATCTGCGCCAGCCAGGCATTTAGAACGATCACTTTGAGCCATATCACCAATTGTCTCCAGCCATCATTGGTGTTTGCCGTCCCGAGGACACCAACCAGGCAGCCAGTTTACACCTTCCTACATGGAGTGGACAATGCTCCAACATCTGAAATGATAGGTAAGGGGGTTCGAGTCTCAGTGAGAACATTAGCAGTCATTCAGTGACATGCAGTCATAGCATAGTTTTGTTTCCATGCTATCCAAAAGGTTTCACTAGCTCTCATCACTTTCTTTTCCCTCTCTTTCTACTTTTATTTTTCTAGTTTGGGTGCTGGAATCACAGGCATTTTTCTTGCCATCTCACTTGTCCTGGAACGTATGCGTTATGAAGGTGTTGTAGATATGTTTCAAACAGTGAAACTTTTAAGATGGCAACGTCCTGGTCTTGTACAAACTGCTAGTGAATATGCATTCTGTTATGCTACAGCATTAGAATATCTTGAGTCTTTCGAAAGATATACAACATAAATCAATGAATTTTTGTTTTTTTTTCTAATTATTAGTTACTATTTATCCTACTACTGTTAAAAGAATATAAGTAGTTCGGTTGATATTGTCAAAATTCAATAGTGAACATTGTACATTGAACAAACTAGGCGCCTTTTTTAAAAGAAAACAATGGGGAAGGTAATAAATAAATGATAATAAGAAAATGGGAAACTCTATAAATTTCCGCTTTTGTTTTTTTCGTCTTTGTCTTTGTGTCTTTGATTTTTCATTTGTCTTTTTGTTATTATTTCTTTCTCATTACGTGTGTATTATTTTTATACCTACCTATTGATGATGATAATGATGAAATTTTTCACATTTTGAAGTGAGATAAATTCAACCTCAAATTGAGAAGAAAATATCGGCCGCCATCCCACCCACCCCCCCATGTCAGCTTAAATCATGTCTTCCTTGATGATGAGTGTGAACAGAACACACTATCACACACAAATACACACACACACAATATCTACTTTCCCGTCTATATATGTGTACATAATTGAAAATAAGTAAATCGGCCTGTATAGATGAAATATATATATACATTTACACATATTTTTCACTTGCTTAAAAACTGCTTATACCATTTTAACCTTGAATGAAGTGTATTCTTAGCTCCGAAACAACCCCCTCGCCCCCACCACCCATCCACACACACTCCACCTTATCTTCTGTCTTTGTGATCATTTGTCTTCTTTTCCTCCTCAAAGAAATGTTGCTCTTGTTGTTGTCGGTGTCGGCGTCGTTATTGATGTCATCGTTCTATTCGTTGTCATCTTCGCTGTCTGGAGACTGATGCGCACAATATTAATGGAAAAGGTTGGATCGAGGCGTTCTTTAATAATAATAATACTAAGAATGCATGCATATTACTCCTCTCTTTCAATTATTTATCACATAAATATATGTACGTATGTGTGTGTGTGTGGATTATGTGGACTGCATTTATGAGGAGAGGAGAGGAGAAAAGAGCCCTCCTCACCACTGCTAACTTGCATGCTGAAAGCGCAGAAATATATTGTTAAATTTCAAGAATTTAGGCCTTATTTATTTACTACTATTATTATTACTACTATTAATAATATCTTTTTATCTCCGAAATGACCTCTTTTTCTGACCCATGACTCCTCCCACCCCAGCCCAATCCTCTCCTTTCCTATCCTTGTTAAAACTATTGTGTTAGGCTCCATGACTTTGAGGATTTCGTCTCGATTCTCAGTGGAATCTGTTTGATAATAATAATAACGATAATAATATGTGTATTGTATATTGTACATTATTTACTAATGGGTGGGAAATTCCTTCCTGTCCGCCCTCTGTCCCTTCCTTTTCTTTATTTCTTTCAAACTCTTCTCACTGACTGCTTTTTTCAAAAATATAAATAAACCCGTTCAAAATAGAAAAGTGCCTTTTTGATTCTTGGTTTCTCAGTCTCTAAGATCATTTACTTATGAATATTTCACATGAAGTGATTTCTGTTGTACATACGCCACAGACCTGTGTGACTGACTGGCAGACAGAGAAGTATAGTTCTTCAACTTGCCACACTTCATGTAGTCTATATGAGTAAATTAAGTCTGTATTATTATTGTTATTATTGTATCCTTTAGTTCCCAGAGGAACATAGGGCTTCAGCTGCGCATCTCCATTGCCTTCTGTTTTCTGCCAACTTTTTCACGCCGCTTCAAGTCTGCCCACATGCTTTCATCTCTTCCTCACATGACCTCCTCCAAGTCACTCTTGTACTGACGACCGACTCAGTGCTTCCCTTTCGGGTTCCACTCAAGCAATGCCTTGTCTAGTGATGTCACTCACTTGATGGTTTGTTTCCTCAGAGTATGGCCGATCCATCTCCATTTCTTCCTGCCAATTTGTCGCACAATCGGTTCCTGGTTGGTTCGCTTATTGCCAGAAATCCCTCCCTGTTGTTGATCTTTTCTGAAAGGCCATCTGATCTTGAGTAGTATTGAGCGAAGACAGCTGTTAGTGAAGGTCTGAAGTTTGTTGGAGATGCTCTTTATGACGCGCTACTCAAGTCTCTGATCCGTAAAGTAGCACTGACTTTACATTGGATTTGAAAATCCGGATCTTATTTTTCATACTGAGTGATGTTGACTTCCACACATACTTAAGGGTAATGAAACCTTGTCTTGCTTTTCCGATTCTTGCTTTGATATCCTCTTCAGTTCCACCTGTAGTTGAAACGATTCTTCCGAGTTAGGTGAAGGAGGCTGTTTCTTTCAGGTTTCTCCCATTTATGCTGACTGTCGTCTGTTGTTATTGCTGTTGCTGTTGGCGTTGGCCAGGAATCTTCATCACCTCTGTTTTATCTATGTTCACCCAAAGTCCCATCTTCTCTGGATGCTTCTTCTGACAACTTGTTGCTTTTCATCACTTACATATCTTCCACACATATATCACATCTGCGAAGTCCAGATCCTCCAAATTTTCTTGTGTGTGAGTCCATTTTATGCCTGTTTCCCCGTTGCCCGATGTGTATCTGTCGCATTATCCAATCTACCGGAATCAGGAAAATCATTGGCGATAGTAGGCAGGCAGCCTTGTCTTATTCCCGTCTTCACTTCGAAGGATTCCGTAAGTTTCCCGTTGTGGATTACTTGGAATGCAGCATTGTCGTACAACTGTTAGATGATGGGACCCCGTAGTAGCGAAGTAGTTGCCAAATCACCCCTTGATCGACGCTGTCGAAGGCCTTTTCAAAGTCGATGAAGTCTGTAGATACAGCAATGAGTAAGATTAAGAAATCTACAACAGATTTAATATGTAGTAGAAAGCTGTCACTGGGTAGGTTTAAATAGTTTAATTTAAAGCCTAATGAGCAATAAATTGTGCTCGAAACGTCATCAATATATATATATATATATATATATATATATATATATATATAGCCAACAGCAACAACAACAGACAACAATCAGTATAAGTGGGAAGAACCTGAAAGAAACAACCTCCTTCACCTACCTGGGAAGCACCGTTTCAACTACAGGCGGAATCGACGAGGATATCAAAGCCAGAATCGGAAAAGCAAGACAAGCTTTCATTACTCTCAAATCTGTGTGGAGGTCAACAGCACTCAGAATCAAAAATAACATCCGGATTTTCAACTCCAATGTAAAGTCAGTGCTACTATACGGATCAGAGACTTGCACTGCGCATCATAAAGAGCATCTCCAACAAACTTCAGACCTTCATTAACAGCTGTCTTCGCTCAATACTACTCAAGATCAGATGGCCTTCCAGAAAAGATCAACAACAGGGAGGGATCTCTGGCAATGAGCGAACCAACCAGGAACCGATTGTGCGACAAATTGGCAGGAATGGAAGTGGATTGGATTGGCCATACTCTGAGGAACAAACCATCAAGTGACATCACTAGACAAGGCATTGCTTGAGGGAACCCGGAAGGGAGGCGGCGAGTTGGTCGTCCAAGGGTGACTTGGAGGAGGTCATGCGAGGAGGAGATGAAAGCATATGGACAGACCTGGAGCAGGGTGAAAAATTTGGCAGAAAACCGAAGGCAATGGAGGTGCGCAGCTGAAGCCCTATGTTTCTCTAGGAACTAAAGGATACAATAATAATAAATAATATAACTGTGTAAATGTGTGTGGTCTTATGAAAATAAAATCTTATCTGTAATGGAGTTATACTCTACCACACAGTCCCCAAGTTTTATACGTATCACGGAATATACACATTGGGTCATAGGAGTTATTAAGAAGACTGACAGTTGCAGCGAGGACAATTTTCTTTTCGACGAAGTCATCATCTAAGCTGTACATTCGTGTATTTATATCAAATGGATGGGAAAGTTCCCAAATAATTTCCGTTTAAGGGTCAAATTAATAAAAATTACAATTAGGAATTAGAATACCATAATAAATAGACAGGGGGATTGGATAAAACGCAAACAAAGTAGCATCATAATAACTAAGAAGATTGACATTGTGCAATTCGGGGGTTAGAAATGTAGAAATGACAAAATAGACAGGATGTTTGGATAAAAAAAAACTAATGTGACGAATAATTGTTTATGCAATCAGGGATTAAATATGTGCGTCGGTGGCACAGTGGTTAGAACTCTCGCCGACCATGCACATGGTCCGGAGTTCGAGCCCACGCCGACGCACACCCAATATCTATGGTCGGCCTGAAAAATTTGGGCTACCGATATCCATGCTGAAAATTCCATACTTGTGCCAAAAATACGATGCGGAATCAAGCTGTAATCAAAAATAATAAAAAATATTAATAATAAAAATAGTAAAATGACAAAATAAACACGAAGTTGGGGTATGAAAATATGGTAGTGTAAACAGGGATTAAGAAAAACTTTTAAAAAATAACATGAATAAACGGGAAGTTTAGGTAAGTGATATGTATCCATATATATATATATGATGGTCTCTCTTTCTGTTGCTCTCTTAGTCTGTGACCATTTCACTTTGATGAACCTGTCTCCTTTAACAATGTATATTCCCCTTATATTATATATAATATGTGTGTTTGTTGACATGTCTGCTATATTTTGCTATGTATATATGGATCGATACTCCATTATAATTAGCCATTCATGTTAAGACTGTCTATTGATTGTTCACACTTGTTTGAACATTCATATATGTTTTGCTCTCACACTATTGTGTGATATATTTTGATTCTCCTTGTGTTTGGAATATAGAAGTATCATCGCAAACCTAGTGGTCTTCTGATTTCCGTCTTTCTTGCGTCAGGACTATTAAATTCTCGATCAGTACATAACAATAATTTGGCGACGAGTACATAACAGTAAGAAAGGCGATGGGATGGTCATTACTAAAAAAATTACCTGTATATGATGGCCATGGCAGGGACAGGGGTTGAACGTATTTCTTTTAGATACAAAGCGTGGGTTTGAGCTTTTGTATAGCTAGCGCCTCGGCTATGTCCAGATGTCTTGATTTCACTCCCTTTAATAGGTC